GGGTGGGATCTCGCTCACTTTGCTGCGGACACTTGAGTCGTGCAACAGTCTGAAAACTACTTTGGTGCTACATGATTTCTTTTTGTGTGTCCGCCGTCATGGAGTCGGTGAAGAGCAGCCGCGGTCCTCGCTCACTGCTGTGCTGTGTGTTTGTGTTGTGTGTACAGCTGAGGTTGGCTCTGACGGGAGGTAAGAGATTCAAAAAAACTCGGGTCCTCGCTCCTCACCAGCTACATTATCGTGATATGTTTTGCATAATGTTAGCTATGGTTGAATTTAGCATTGCGTGGGCCTGCGTTAGTCAGTGCCTTCATGTTTGTGTACTGGTGGGGGTTTCTGCTCGAGGAGTACATTTTGACGACAGGTAGACCAACTTTCCTGAATGTCGACACTGGTGTTTGGCTTATGGCAACAGAACTTTTGAACTATCACACCCTGCACGTACACGAAGGCCGAATACGGAGTTGTGTCCTTGCCTGTGTTGCGAAAGGCAAATAAATCATTAAGGTCCCTGTTTTGCCTCTTGGGTTTGGTGCATTGCAGGACAGCATTGTTTGAATATGGCCTGGAGGCGTCTAATGGTGGCTAATTTGCAACGAACTAGTACACAGTCCCATTGTATAGACTTAGGTGTGGAGCAGTGGTTGTCAATATTGCCTTTTAAATGAATGGACACACTAATAGGAAATGTATCAGCTGTAAAGTAAGTTTGTTACTAGAAAAAACAGTGCTACAGATATCTCAGAGAAGTCTGACAGATGTGTGAGTAAAGCAACTACACAGCTACATATAAGGTCAATTTAAAAAAAACTATTCGAGGAACAGTCTATGTCACCATTTGTGAAACAGACACAATCTGTACTGAAAAAGAGGAACGGTGGTCACAAGTTGAAACTAAGGGACTGGGTGGTTTCGACTGTACAGACAGTACAGACTGTAAGGGCTTGTAGAGTGGTATTTAAACTGCCACCCAACCAAACATGATGGTACAGAGTTCTATCAGCATCTTAAAATGATGATTCTGTTATATCAGCTTGCTGTTGTGTGTGTCTTTTAAACGGGTGGTTCCCAACCTGTATCCTTAAGGGACCCTTTTCTATCATTGAGTTAACTGATGACCCCTGTGAATTATTCTATGGTTATTTTATATTATAATATACTATAACTATACTATACTTCCTATGAATATGTGAAAAAGGACTATAATTCTCTGTATTGTTCTTGAACAATCATACGTACTTAATAGGCTGTGTCTGTGCCGCTTGGCCATTGTTCTATAAGTTCCTTGGTTGTTTTAATGAGGCTACAGTGCCCTTATCTTTTTTCCAGTTTATCTTCAGTCATTATCAACATTTTAAAAATAACACATTTGTTTAGTTTTTTTACAGAAGTGAATGAAATACTGAGTTATAGACCTACGGTGCGTATATATATATTAAAGTTTTCTTACACCCCTTAAAATCAAGAAGGCCTTGCAAACCCCTGAGAGTCTTTGGCAACCCCCAGGTTGGGAACCAGTGATCTAAATTATCCTACACAGACGCACGCAGCTAAAAGAAATTGAGATCACAGGTCAGGTGCCAGATCTTTCCGTCACCATGTTTTGTCCCATGATTTTCCTCAGACTGCCCCGCAGACGGACGCACTTGGGTGCCGTTTGATGGCAGATGTTACCACTTCGTCCATGGAGAAGAAGACAGCATCAAAAGCTACACTTTTGAGAGAGCAAAAACCCTCTGCCAAGGATTTGGTACCGGAGACATTTTATTTTCCAATATTTTCTAAAAGACAAAATGACAAATGGACTGTATATCGATATATGTGTGTGATCCTGTTGTCGTACGTTGCTGTGATTTTTCTAGAGCTTTTGACCATCCAGAGCGCTGACGAGAACGACCTCGTTATTAAATATAGTCCAAAGGTGTGGAAAGGGAAGGTCAACGTATGGCTGGGAATGTATTATGACACAGACAGTAAGTACCGTGTGACCGGAAGACTGTGAAAATACGCTGGCTAACTTCCAAAAGATAAAATCAGATTTTCAATGGCAATCAAAAAGGAAAAAACATACAGCTGCTTTTTACAATTGTTTGGAGGTAACTAGGTGGAAAATCAACACAGAATTTTAAAGGGTGTTGATTCAGATATTAATAATAATCCATGGATCGTTTTCTGTAACCGACCGCGAATAAATAACTCTTTGTTTGTCGTTCAGCATACTGTTTATTTCAACAATATTATCTACATGCAGTTATTCTTATCTATGTTGGCTTAAAAGTTGAGTGTGAAAGTTTATTCCTGACGTCAATCCAATCTCAACTCAAGAGTAAAGATAAATAATCTTAACTCGAGTTATCTTCAGTTTTTTGTCTGCTGTCTGTGCTTGGTTATTTCTCTATTTACTTGAAACAGGTTAGATAACATTAAGTGCTGTCTGTTAGATTGTCCTTTATTTTCTGCTAGTGCCAGCTAATTTTAATGCTTGTATAACACTGACTCATCCTCGTCTTTCAGCCCTGCTCAGGAAATCCTTTTCAAGCACTAAATGGAGGCACTGTAGGAGAAGCTAAGCTACCCGAAATACAGCTAAAATCACACTTAGTGTGAATATTGTATTGATATATTGAATATTTGTGAACACTATTTGTTGTATTGTAACACAGCTGATTGCAGCACACCATAATGCCAGCATTACATGGTTGATATTACCTGTGATAGTGGAGTACTGATTGGCGTATCTTGTCAGGTGAAGAAATGAAGTGGTTTGAAGATGAACCTGTGCGATTCACTAACTGGGAGTCCAGCTCGTCTCCATCAGACCTCGTGCCCTTGGATACATGTGTGGCTCTGCACACCAACACAGGAAAGTGGGAGAACGTCAGCTGCCTGGACGAAGTGGAGAACGGAGTGATCTGTGAGACAAATCAGAGTAAGATTTTTTTATTTATTTTTGACTGATCCATGAGTATGTGTAAGGATTTTAGTTAATGCGGCTTCAGAAAATGTGTTTTTTTTCCACTCGCCTCACTGCGTATGTGTTTGGTGTTGTTTTTTTCAGAGGCAGAGGAAGCCAAGAAAAGTAAGTCGACCTTTGAACCTTTTTTTGCAGTTTCTTTACTTATTCCTCTGTGATTGGGATTCTGATCCTTGTGTTTATAGTCGTGACCTTCCTTGCATTGTTACTTGTGCTCCTCAGAGCCCAGTGCACTGCTGTCCACCCTGGTCGTTCTCAGCGTGGTAGCCATCATGGGAGTCTCAGCAGTTATTTGGTTCCTGCACCAGAAGCACAATGTTGGCTCCACTATGCTCACGGCATTCGAGTACCACCCTCCGTTCCGAGTCCTGGAAACAGACCAGTCCTGCCTGGTGGAGTCTGAGGAGACTGACAGTGTGCCATAGGAGAACTTTCTCTCTCTTCCACAATTGGAAGCAATCAGACCCTCCTCATTGGGTCTTCATGCAAAAAGAAGTCCGCTCTAAACAAAACAGTTACAGAAGTAGTTTTGGGTTAACAATGTCATGACTCTGAATAATATAGTACGATTGTAAGACAACTCGACTCCAGGCTTACTCTAATACTAACTTCTCACTGTGACACATAAACATCTCACTACTTTTACTTTTGTCATCTATTCTGTACTAACAAAGAATCACCTGTAATTTTTGTTCAGATTGGTGCATTTTTATCTGCAACTGTGGCCTGGTGAACATGTCATCTGTGATTTGATCATCATTGAACATCAGGTCATTATGAGGCACCACACATTTCTTGGGGATCATTATTTTTCTCTTGCATACTAAAAGTAACTTAATGTTGCTCACTCAAAGAAGGTGGAGAAAGAATACTTTTTGTGAGCAGACAGAAATTGACGGTTACACGGCGACTTTATTATTGCATTAAACTTTGGGACTAACAAGAGGGACATTGGAAAAAGAATGATCAATTGGTGCTGAGAAATCCTGAGTTTTAGTCTATATATTTATCGTGCTCCAAATAGGCAGGATTCTACATTTCACATAATATATCCGATTAATCATAGTCCACAACCCCCCTACGAACATCATCAGTGGTTATTTTCTCAGACTTTAAAGGTCCAGTGTGTGGGATTTAGTGGCATCTGGCGGTGCAGTTGCAGATCGCAACTCCCTTGCTTCACCCTCCCCTCCCAAGCACAAAGGAGAAACTATGGTAGCTGTGAAATGCGCAAAAAGCACAAAAACGCCTATCTAGAGCCCGAGTTTGGTTTCTTCCTTCTGGGCCACTGTAGAAACATGGCGGTTCAATGTGGTGGCCTCCACGGAAGGCAACCCAACGGCGTGTGTAGATATCAGCGGCTCATTCTGAGGTAACAAAAACATAGCAATTCCTATATGCAGTTGATCATAACCTATTGATCATAGCCTATTAAAAACATGTCTATGCATATTATATTCCATTTTTGCCAATAGAGCCTCTTAAATGTTACATACTAGACCTTTAAA